GACATGGCACCTCACGAACAGCATTGACATCTTGGGCAGACACTGACAGAATTTGCACAGCATCGACACTCTTACTCTGGTTGGGACAACAGTTGCTGAAGTGGCCCAGAGACCCACACTTCCAACACTTCTGAGACTTGGCTCGACAGACTTTATCCTTAGCCCAGTGGCCCTTCATACCACACGCCCGACATGTCCCAGACTTCCCACCTGCAAGCTGTTTCTGTGGTGTCCTCCGCGCTGGGGCGCTGTTCCGGCGTCCGGCGAACGCGACCTCCACTGGTGCTGGTGACTGGAAGCTCACGGTGCCCTGCAGCAAGGCCTTCCGCTGCAGACCACGATCGTGCGCGGCGGCCAGTTCCTCCAGTTGGGAGAGGGTCAGTCGGTCAGTCATGATCAGTTTGTCACGTAACGGATCAGACATGCATCCTTCAATGAAAGCATCGCGCAGCATTTCATCAGTCAGTTCCCCAAAATTACATTTTGCGACTGCCTCCCTCAGGTTTGCCAGAAAAATGACATTGGACTCTCCATGACGCTGCTTAATCTGTCGAAACTGCAAACGTGCCGAACGAACATCAGCGTCACTGGCAAACAGTTTCTTGAGAACGCTTACGGCCTTATCAAAACGTAGGTGCGTTCCGGAATGATCATCAGACACGCTACCTTCGCTCTTAAGGTCAGCATCGTCAACTGAGACTGCAGCGCGGTACAGACGACGTGCCTCTGCACCGACAGATGTCAACAGAAACGCCGTCCTGCGGAGGTCAGGCCAATCAGACCACCCGCTGGCCTCACCGTACATGATGAAGTCCTCGAACCACGCCTGCCAGTTACCAGGACGCTGTCCCGGCTTGGAGAGGAACTCCGGCGGAGCTGGTGCCTGATACATCTTGATATCTTGAGCGCTATTAACTTAATTCTTGATCCTCGTCGCCAATGTAGTATATTAACGTAAAGCAAGAATGAAATACGTAACGAAAGAGTTCAAATAAGCGCCAAAAGAACACATCAGCCTCGACCGGCCGCACCGCGCGCACTGTCTGACCCGACCGCCGCGCCGGTCAGCTCGGCGGGGTCACCGCGGTCGTGGCGGCTGCCGATTGGTCCGCGCGCTCGAGTCCGCGCCCGCGCTACTCGGCCGGCGCCGCCCGGCGCACACAGGCACGGCATGATGGAAAGTTCCCAACACAGGATCACGATACCACAGTCAGGCAGTAGAAAGACCAAATATAGTGCAGAGTATCTATATGTTTTTAGTGCTGTATTGCGCCATGTTTGATGGCGCATATGGCACTGAGTGCTACATACAGCACACTGATGGTGTACACAATCCATTTTTGCTCACATTATTGAAGTTTTAGTTTGAAGTGGTATCTATTTATTTTATGATCAGTTACACCTTCAGTTTTTCTCATGGGTCTTAGCTTCCTACAATGGAATGCACGAGGGCTCATTGGCAAATGGGCCGAGGCAAAACCCATGTTCATGCATGGTAACTTCAGCCTCATATGTATTCAAGAGACTCATTTCATCATGAATGACAGGTATACTTTTCGACTACCTGGTTTTTCTGCGTATCATGGATACTCACGTCAGGGAGGACGAGGTGGAGGAGTGTCGATTTATGTGTCAAACAGGTTATCACATTTTCAGGTAGACGTGCACACCACATTACAGGCAGTGGTATGCTCAATACGGGTCCAAAACCGTCGAATTGCTGTGTGTTCGTTGTACTTACCACCAAATGAGACTTTCTCTTTTACTGAGCTGGATCAGCTGATCAAAGAGCTTCCTAAGCCCTTTGTCATCTGCACGGATGCTAATAGCAAACATATGATGTGGGGTAGCCAAATAAATGATGCTCGAGGAAATATCTGGATGGATGTGATCAACCTGAATATGCTGTGTGTTTTGAACGATGGGCAGCCCACTAGAATAGACGACTTTACAGGCAACGAGTCGTTTATTGACTTAACTGTTACAACAAGCGATATTGCACCCATGATGGAATGGAATACTGACAAGGACCTCCACTCAAGTGACCATTTCCCCGTACTTATCAGAATGGGCTCTGATACTGGCCCACCACCTCCAATTGTTCCACCTCTGTTTCTAGGTTGGAATATTAAACGAGCAGACTGGACTGAGTTTCAGAGACACTATTCTTTTAAGTTTGATAGTAGCAATGGCGTTGACAATTGTGACAACATGGTGGCAGCAATGATGGAAACGGCTACACAATTTATTCCCACCCGCAACTGTAACTCTAAATACCAATGCCCATGGTGGAATGACCAATGCCGAAACGCCATTAGGGAGAGACGGCGTGCTCAGAACCGGATGAGGAGAGACCCATACTCTGAGTTCCTGCGAATTGAATATCGTCGTGCCAAAGCAAAGGCTCATCGCACAGTTCGTGAGGCACAGGTAACTGCATGGAGGGAGTTCATATCTATGTTTAATCACCGAACACCAATGAAGAAGCTGTGGGAAACGCTTCGGAAATTCAATTACAAGGGTCGCATATCCCGACAATACCCGGTACTGTTTGAAAATGACGCCACAATCGATGATCCTCTTGAGGTTGCTAATACGTTTGGACGTTTCTTTGCCGGACTGAGTGGCCGTTCTATGTACTCTGAAGCATTTTTACTAAGAGAACGGACACTCATTGATACCATGCCAGACTTTGGGAATGAGAACACCGAAGACTATAACAAAGAGTTTTCATTCTCTGAACTAACTAAGGCGATATCTCGATCAGGCTCTACGTCAGTTGGGCCGGACAAAGTGCACTACGAATTTTTTAGACACATGGATGATGGGCAATTACGAGAACTGTTGGCGCTTTTCAACTTTTTATGGTTGAACAATGTTTTCCCACAAACATGGAAACATTCGTATGTTGTTCCTATATTGAAGCCGGGTAAGGACTGTAATAAAGTCAAATCATACCGCCCAATCCAGCTAACATCTGTTTTGTGTAAACTGATGGAAAGAATGATCGGGAAAAGACTTAGCTGGTACTTAGAAAGGTATTGCCTACTATCTAGGTTTCAGAGTGCTTTTCGGGAGAACAGGAGCACAATGGACCACTTGCTACGACTGGAGTCACAGATTCGAGATGGATTTCTCCATCACAGCACCACAATAGGGATTTTTCTCGATTTAAAATCGGCATACAACATGGTGTCTCCTACTGTGCTCTTGCATCGCCTTTTTGACATGGGTTTTCGAGGACACCTGATGTACTTTGTCCAATCGTACCTAAGTCGTCGAACGTTTCAGGTTCGATGTGGTGCGTTATCGGACACATTCACTCAAGAATATGGACTTGTGCAGGGTGGGGTGCTTTCGCCATTGCTTTTCAACATTGCTATCAACTCGATGTTTGATGATATCCCTCGAGGTGTCTCGTATGCCATCTATGCTGACGATTGCACGATTTGGACACAGGGTCGACAATTACCTCAACTGTTTCACAAAAGTCAGCAGGCTCTGCACAAAGTTGGGGAATGGGCGCTTAACAATGGATTTTCTTTCTCGGCAGAAAAATCTACAGCGGTCATGTTCAGACGTGGATTAAAACATGTTGACTTGGAATCTTACCCCACACTTGTTATCAACAATGCAAACATTCCTTTTGCTGAGCAGGTGAGATACCTGGGAGTTCTGCTAGACAGCAAACTCAACTTTAGAGCGCATGTAGAGTATACTAAAGCGAGGGCGCAGAAACGAATCGCTCTTCTTAAATGCATATCAGGTAAATCGTTTGGCGCTGATCGAGTGATTCTCCTTCGAATGTATAAAGCTTTAATTCGTCCAATCCTCGAATATGCTGCAGTGATATTAGATGGGCCGGGCAGTCGCATTATTGATTCACTTGAGTGCGTGCAAAACACAGCACTACGTATCGCGACTGGAGCGCTACGTTCCAGCCCTGTACGGTCGTTGCAGGTTGACACTAACGTGGTTCCTCTCAGCCTCAGGAGGCAAGACCTATCACTTAGATATTATCTCAAGGTACAGGGAGACATTCGACATCCATGTCACAAATTGGTTGATATGGAGAGCAACCAACACGTGTATGAAGGGATATCCGAACACTATATGAAAAGGATTTCTGGATTCCCTGTATCACAAAGGTTGTCCACAATGTGCCGGGAACTTGGTCTCCGAATACCAGTAAACACGGTGAACTCACGTGGACTGATATCTCCCTGGCTCTTACCCGACGTCACCACTGTGATGTTACTCGATGGCACGAGACACAGGACAGAAACTGACATTCATGTAGCGTTCCAAGAGGTGCTTGCACAATATCCAGGGTTTCGGAGATTCTATACTGACGGCTCCAAGATTGACGGATCGACTGGCTGTGCTTTTACAGTGAACAATGCTTTCTTTTCACACAAACTGGATCCGTGGATGTCAGTGTTTACTGCGGAGTTGGTGGCAATTCGCGAAGCACTTCGATTCATTTCGAATCATCGGGTTGACAAAGCAATGATCTGTTCGGACTCGCAATCCGCGATACGTGCTATAGCGTCTCACAATCGTGAACATTGCATTGTTATAGAGATTTCTGAGATTCTCTACCAGCTTTCACGTGACCGATGCCAATGTATTTTTCTGTGGATACCAGGACACAGCGGTGTAGCAGGCAATGTCAGAGCCGATCATTGGGCCAGACTGTCTCACCAGAAACCGAATGTCACGCATGTTAATGTAGGGTACAGAGAGTTTCTGCCTATGGTTCGTAAGAGTATCAAAGACAAGTTCGCTGAGCTATGGCATGATTACCGCCCGACACTCCTTAAAGAGATTAAGCCAAATGTCGGCCAATGGATGTCTAGTTCTCGCAGAAACCGCAGGGAAGAAATCATACTGACTAGGATGCGAATAGGGCATACTCATCTTACTCATAGACATATTCTCGATCGCGAACCACCACCGATATGTGACCGTTGCCGATGTCCACTTGACGTTCCGCACATCTTGCTGCATTGTCGGAAATTCTGTGCCGAAAGATGGAACCTGGAAACAGAATGTCGCATATCCAATGTCCAGATGAGTGTTGCATCTCTACTGGGAAATGAATTTCCCTTGATCACGGATGCGGTGTTTGCATATCTTACTGAATGCAATGTTGCTCAGAGATTGTGAGACGATGTGATGTTGTGATGTCAAACATGTGACTTTGGCGAACTACTTAGAGTGAGTGTTATCGACGACAATTGCTCTCTATTGACTGTTTTTGCAGTGTATTTCGATTATAGTTAGTTTTCACCCCAAAGTAGTTCTTTCAGAATCTATCGTATTTAGACCACCTCTCTTGGTCTATGTAGCCTAGTTGAAACCTCAGTAGTGTAACCATCAGGATGCCACAACTATGGCTGAAAACTAACCACTTCTGTCTTCTGCAGAAATCTTCATCGCTACATCCTCCCAAAGCAAGTTCACACCACGGCTATACCTATCCTAAATCCGTAACCCTGCTTAGTCACCCTGCTTAGTTCCCTTTACCCACAAAGAAGAAGAGAAGAAGAAGAAAGACTGTCATCAAAAGAAGTTGGACGCAAGAGCCAAGTTGCTACGCGCCCTAACCCACAACAACAACAACAACAACGTTCATGTTGGGTGTGTGAGATGGTGAGAGTGTGAGAGAAGCCGGATAAATATAATTTGTGAGTTGTGACCCGTGATTATAAGCAAATATTCTATATTGGGGGCGAGTGGGTTGAAAAATAATTTCTATTTCGTGTCCTCATTACAGGCTTCCAATATGTTCTGGTCGTGTTATCATATCGATATCCCATACATACACTGGCTATTTTACATGGTAGGCACTGGCACGCGGCGTTGATAAATCGATTTCAAAATTCAATCTCGATGAATCTTGGTGGCTGGTTTGGTGGACTTTCGTGGGAGGTAAATGGGTGGCATGTATTTTGAGACTGCAACACAAATTGTGGCGCTTTTTAATAATTTTATTTTAGATTATTTTAGGTTGTAAATTATTAGATTTTGTAAGCTATACCTACATTTTTAAACTTGTTAATTTTCCAGTAATTCAGGGACTTTCGCTGTTGTATGACCTGCGGCCACCTCTCCAAATCAGCCACCTGAATCTTGAACAAGTTTTTGTTTTAAAAAATCTGGTCTGGCCGTCTTCAAGTGGGAAAAATGAAAAAGCCATCAGCTTATGAACTTAACTAGGTATTTTATCTACTCTACCCTCACAGGCACAGTCTCAATTTGAGTAATTTCAACTATTATTACCTTTAGACTTTCAGAAGTTTCACGTGGCTGTGGAATTTGAGTTGACAGTTTTGGTTTTTGTCTTGGTGACTGTGAGTCCAAGTTTGACTCAAGGCTTCCATTTTAAGATACACTCAAAGTTGAAACAGAGGTAACTTATGTCTTCCAGTTTGGCGAACAGTCTATAAATTGGACTGTTTAGTGCACTAGCCAGGTCACTGGCCTGAGTCCTATTCTCCAGTGACCTCATAGTGACTTCCCATGGTTTGTGGTTAAAACAGTTTTGTCCTTGTCCTTGTTGGCAGTGGCGGATCCAAGGGGGGGGTCACATGGGTCATGGCCCCCCCTTGAGGCCCGGGGGCCCAAAGACCTGCCAGGGGCACCACCGGCCTATCAGAGGTATCACAGTCCTGACAGGGGCACCACAGGACCGCCAGGGGCACCACAGGCCTAGCAGGGACACCACGGGCCTGGTACCCCTGGGCCCTGACAGGACTGTAACGCCCCTGACAAGCCTGAAGTGTCCCCGGCAGGCACGTGGTGGCCCTGACAGGCCTGAGGCGCCCCTGCAAGGCCGGCAGTGCCCCTGGCAGGCCTGTGGTGTCCATGGCAGGCCTGTGGTGCCCTTGCTAGGCCTCTGGTGCCCCTGACAGGCTTGTAATGCCCCTGGAAGGACTGTGGTGCCCCTGGGCCCTGACAAGCCTGAGGTGCCCCTGACAGGCCAGTGGTGCCCTTGCTAGGCCTGTGGTGCCCCTGGCAGGCCTCTGGTGCCCCTGACAGGCTTGCGGTGCCCTTGGAAGGACTGTGGTGTCCCTGGGCCCTGACAAGCCTGAGGTGCCCCTGACAGGCCCGTGGTGCCCTTGTTAGACCTGTGGTGCCCCTGGCAGGCCTCTGGTGCCCTTGCTAGGCCGCTGGTACCCCTGCGCCCGGAGAGGACTGGTGCCCCTGAAAAGTCTGAAGTGCCCCTCGGCAGGGCCGTGGTGCCCCTGACAGGCCCAAGGTGCCCCTGCGAGGCCGGTGGTGCCCCTGGCAGACCTCTGGTGCCCCTGGCAGGTCTGTGGTGCCCCTGGCAGGTCTGTGGCGCCCCTGGCAGACCTGTGTTGACTGGTGCCCCTGCTAGGTCGCTGGTGCCCCTCACAGACCTGTGGTGCCCCTGGGCCTTGACAAGCCTGAGATGCCTGGCTATGACAGGCTCGTGGTGCCCCTGATAGACCAGTGGTGCCCTTGCTAGGCCTGTAGTGCCCCTGGCAGGCCTCTGGTGCCCCTGCTACCCCTGCGCACGGAGAGGACTATGGTGCCCCTGAAAAGCCTGAAGTGCCTCTCGACAGGCCCGTGGTGCCCCTGGGCCCTGACAGGCCCAAGTTACCCCTGCGAGGTCGGTGGTGCTCCTGGCAGGCCTCTGGTGCCCCTGGCAGGTCTGTGGTGCACCTGGCAGGCCTGTGTTGACTGGTGCCCCTGCAAGGCCGCTGGTGCCCCTCACAGGCCTGCGGTGTCCCTGGAAGGACTGTGGTGCCCCTGCCCCTAGGGGTGCTCATGGGCCCAACAGGCCCGTTGTGCCCCTGACAGGCCTGTCGTGTATACTTGCTAGACCTGTGGTGCCCCTGCTTCCTGGCAGGCCTGTGGTGCCCCTGGCGGGCTTGTGGCGCCCCTACAAGGCCGTAGGTGCCCCTGACAGGTTTGTGGTGTCCCTGGAAGGACTTTGGTGCCCCTGACAAGCCTGAAGTGTCAAGAACAGACCCTTTAGACGCCAGGGTCAAGTTCGTCGGACTGACAACGATTTGCTTACCTGATAACGTTCCTGGTAAGTACTCACTACTCAGCATCCACAACATATATACACATAGCACATTCATATATACTTGCTTACAATTGGTAAATGTGGTTGTGGCTAAGAGTTAAGATACTGACTAAAAATAAAAAATAAAGATGAAAAAACTGAAAATGGGGGCACCACCAAAATGAAGTGGACGAAATCCGTTGAGTTTTTAATTTTGGGTATAGGTAGAGGCACCACTTCGATTCATGACCCTCCCCTTGGAGTTTTCCTGGATCCGCCCCTGCTTGTTGGTCATCTAGGTTTCATCTAGGAGCCTGGATATAATCCCACCAGCTCAGCAAGAGGTGACACGGGGTTGGACATAGCCACATTTAATGTGACAAAAGAGGGCACACAGAAATTGCAGTCCTAAGTTGATGCAGAGTGATAAGTAACCATTGAATATATGATGCATCCCATGTGGTGCAAGCATGCATTATATCACAAACTTTTGTTATTTTAATGAACAAATTGATTTATTAGCTATACCAGATTTTGGTTTGACATTTATCTGGCTTTGGGTCCTTATAGACAATACCTATCCTGCTAAATTCAAATGCAGATTAGATCAACCATAAGACAAAATCTTGCTTCCACAGAAACTCATTCCATTTCAACTATGATGAAGAAGAAAGGCAAGAAATCCATCCTTCCTAAATCAAAGAAATCTCAGAGCTCTGGGAAAGCCAAGCATGGGCGTCCGCCTGGCGGCGCCCCACGGCGGCCGGGCGGCGCGGCGAAGGGCGGCGGCCGGCGGCAGCGGCGCGCGCCGGCGGACGGTGCTGACGACGAGCTGCAGCAGCGTCAGCAGCGGATCGAGGAGCTGCGCCGCTCACTGGGCATGCCGGCCCGCGCGGCACGCGCCGGCGCCGAGCGGCCAGGAGGACCAGGTGAGGCCGGGGGGGGGGGGGGGAAGCAATGTCGGGAGATGTGGGAGGGACGTGACCTGGTGACGTCAGTTGTAATTTGACCTGCTACGGAGGTGACCTGATTATGTGGTGTAATGTAACCCCAACCCGTGAGACGTTCGGGTAGTTTAGTTTGTTGACTGATGACCAGTATAGTTATTGATTGATGACTGATTAACTTGGGTAATCGTTTTACCTTAAATCTTTTAGAATTAGAGACCAAGGTCCATACAAAACGCTGGACACTCGTATCAAAAACTCCCGTGCAAGATCAGTAACACTATCATATTGAGAGCCTGAGTAAGGCCAACAACAAGTGAACCATTGTGCATTCCATGTTGATGCATTTAGAACATGGTACATCGATTGTGATGCAACATTTATATATTTTCACAGCATGATAATAGGTGCTCCGATTGCTGCACATATTTGACATACAGTAGTGGCGGTCGTTATATCGCTGAACCAGTATTTACGCGGGTTTTGTTTGCAGACGCTCCCTCCGATGAAGTGGACACGGAGGGCCTGGAGCACCTGCTAAAGGCTGCCAAACGCGGTCACATCTCTCTAATGGAGGACGAGGACAGGTGAGATAAGACGCATCCCAACGCTGAAAAAAGGGGCGAACACTGCCAATGTACCAATTGCTGCTCGATTGGTTTGTTTTGTTTTATTTATTTTCTCACTTATGATAGTCTGTGGGTTGCATATCACTTATCAATCTTACTACAAGAAATCCTACTTGAATGTGTGAAGAAAATGCAGTTATAATTGATGAGCTGCAGCCAGTTATTCCTGTCATATAACCGCCTTACAAAACCCGTCTGGGCGCAGCGGCGAGGAGGGAGCGGCGGACGGTGCCGGGCCGGGCCGGAGGAAGCGGCCGCGCGCCGAGGACTCCTCCTCCTCAGAGGACGAGGACGAGGAGCGCGAGTATGAGCAGGAGCCGCGCTCCTTCCCCGTCGTCCGCGACCTGCTGCCCATCAAAACCAAGGTCGGCGTCGTCAAACGCAAGATGCTCGTCAAAACTCGTGAGTAACAGCTCCACTATGGTGATGTGGTACTTAGAAGCGCAGTTTTGACGTGATTTAAAGCGGGACAATATGTGCTCCTTATTGGGGGCTGCAACTGTGGAATGCGACACAAATAACATTTTTCTCCTCGTTTCGATGTTATGTTCTCCAAGCTTATGAGCACGACCCGTTTTTTTCTTTTAACTTCATTACATTCTTTCATTCAGCTAACTGCGATCACTCGACCACACTCCACCGCGAACCCACACAGCTCTTCAGCCGAATACTGGTCGTTTGATGAACGCGCTCCTCTTCCCAGCCGAGGACCCGGACCGTCCTCAGGAGGAGGAGCAGGACGCTCAGGAGGAGGGGGAGGAGGACACCCAGGCCGCTCCTCCGCCGCCGGCTGACGCTACCCGCAGCGTGGCCGAAATCTACGCCGAGCGCAGGGCAAAGATCGACGCGGCAAAGCTGCGCATCGGACTGCTGTCACGTGCCCTGCTGGAGACGCCTCAGGAGAAGGTGAGGCGATTTACGTCACTCGTTTTATCCTGCTACTTGACTGCGGGTGTCTTCCACCTACACTCATCGTGACACTGTCCGTCGTTTTTTTTTTTTTTTTTTTACTGTCGGCTGGTTAACGTCCTTTTTGGATCGCTGAGTTTTACCGGGCTAAAAGGATGACTGAACTCCGCAATGCTTCAACGACGAGCAGCGGAGGCTAAAACCCAAGCGATTCTCTAAAGGCGACCTGTACCGCCTTTTCGGCCTAATGTGCCTTTGCAGCTCATCCGCTGTGACAGTATAACATCTTCTCTTCTCAGTTCGACAACCTGTACCGGCTGCTGGACCTGCTGTGACGTGACGCCCCGTTCCTGTCCGCTCTCAGTTCGACAACCTGTACCGGCTGCTGGACCTGCTGTGACGTGACGCCCCGTTCCTGTCCGCTCTCAGTTCGACAACCTGTACCGTCTGCTGGACCTGCTGTGACGTGACGCCCCGTTCCTCTCCGCTCTCAGTTCGACAACCTGTACCGTCTGCTGGACCTGCTGTGTGACACTGTAACGTCCCGTTCCTCTCAGTTCGACAACCTGTACCGTCTGCTGGACCTGCTCGCGGAGCGCGACCCGGCGGTGATGGTGACGGTGCGGAAGTACGCGGCCGCCTCGCTGCTGGAGGTGTTCAAGGACCTGCTGCCCGGCTACCGACTCCAGGAGCACGACCTCACGCAGAAGCTGAAGAAAGAGACGATCGCCACGTACAAGTACGAGAACGCGCTCATTAACTCGTACAAAAAGTACCTCATCAAGCTGGAGGAGTACACCAAGGCGCTCGGCTCCGATCAGACGCCACTCAAGGTAAGGAGACGGGGCGACGGAACCATCGCGGAATGCTGAGTTTAGGGGCAAGACGACTCATCAGCAGACATGTGCATGGATCCGAGAAAATGGATCTGGGATCTGATCTCACGGATCCTGATCTCGGATCCGTCGGGATGATAGATCCAGCTCTGTAATTTATCGAGAGATCCATAGGGATCACATATCCGAGTCTCATTTTTTGCTTGAGATCCGGTGAGATCATAGATCCTCACTTATTTTTTGATAACACATATATCCCAAAAAAGCACTTGATTCAACTCACAAACGTTCTGCTGTAGTGATTTCATGTGATCGCACGTCATAATCCATAGTTTTGTGTCACTAATTGGCATAGAAACCCTTTAAAACATGGTTTCAAATGTGGTGCATGGTGGGATCCACTCAGATCATAGATCCATGTTCTTAATTTATCGTCAGATCATATGAGATCATAGATCCAAGATGTATTTTTCACGCCGGATCCGGTGGGATCATAGATCACAACCTGTACTTTGCTTCGATATCCACTGAGATCATAGATCCATCACTCGGATCCATGCACATGTCTGCTCATCAGTATCTTCGTCGATAAGTAAATAGTGTTTAATCTTGCAATGTTGCAGCTTATTTCGTTTGTTTTATAAGTATCAGCGCATAAATACAAGTAAATAATATTTGTTTTTTATGTTGATAGTGCTAGCTGGTGAATGGATTTATTGTAGTGCAATGTTTTTTTTCATGAATATCGTGGTGTCACATTTTCCCTTTTTGTGCTTAGTTTTTTTCCTCCGGCCGGCAGGGCCTTGCGATGTTCTGCCTGGACTGCATGTGCCAGTGTCTGGTGCGGTTCCGCGACTTCAACTTCGCGTCGAACCTGGTGGGCGCACTGGTGCCGCACACCTCCCACCGGGACGAGGCGGTGCGCGCGGCGGTATCGGCAGCCATCCGGACAGTGTTTGCCGAGGACCGGTCGGCAGAGCGGACGCTGGAGGTGAGGAGAAGGACCGCTCAGTAGAGCGGGCTGCAGAGGGTGGGACAGAGCTGCTGAGCAGGGAGAACGCTCGAGGCGAGAGAGGAAGGAGGAGGGGCAGTCAGGCGGCTGAGCTGTTCGATATTTTATCTTGTTGAAGTCGTAGTTGCCTGTGGCATTACTGCTAAACATGATTATGAATTTATGAACTGCATGCAATTAGCTTGCTGCTCCCTTTCTGTAACGACTCAATGAGAGCAGAGCCTTTGTTATTACGTCGGGGAAAATTATCGATGATTGCGGACTCGTAGAGCAGTATCTGCCAAACCGCTGGTGACTGAAGTCGTTTCCAATCAGCCATCACCCTGCCTCCTCTAGCCCCACCTCCCGTCACCAGTCTGACCCTATTACCCCGACTCCGCCCGTCAGATTGTCCGTAAGCTCAGCCAACTGATCAAGGCCAAGCAGTTCGACTGCCGACGCGACATCACCGATCTGTTCCTGGCGCTGCGCATCAAGAACGTCGACCTGGACCGGGAGCGGGACGCAGACGCCAAGGCCAAGAAGTTCATGAACTTCAAGGAGAAGCTGAAGGCCATGTCCCGCAAGGAGCGGAAGGTATGTGGTAGTGGTACGGGATCTGAGTTATCTTAGCGTTTCCGGTTTAGTAGTGAGTTTATGATTTAGCCAGGAAATGTGGGGCCTCAATGCTGTATTAGTAAAGCTACATAATAATCTAGTAGCACTGTTAACCATTATTCTTAATCAATCTCTGAGACATTTGGTCCCTGCCAAAAACTCTGTGGTATTTCATATCATTTACTTAATTGCCCCTTGTTATCAATCTCCATCCCCCTCTTTTCCCGTGCTCACTGCCCGTCGCTCGGTGCCGTCCGCAGCGCTCCAAGAAGCTGGAGGCCCTGGAGCGCGAGCTGATGGCCACGCGGGCCGAGGAGAACAAGCAGGACAAGCAGAAGCGGCACTCGGAGATCCTCACCGTCGTCTTCACCGTCTACTTTAAGATCCTGCGTCAACTGCCCCGCTCGGCGCTGATGTCGTCAGTGCTGGAGGGACTGGCCAAGTGAGTGGCGCGGCGGCACGGAGACGGTTTGTAACGGGATGAATAGGGCTAGATGGGAGAGGTGAACTGGGCTGGGTATGCTTTGTTTTGTAGGCTGTCCTCATTTTGTTGTATTATCTAGCCATCCCGTCCATTCAAACGCATATCCTAATCGCATTTATGGCCAACCCATCGATTATTGCTAATCATTCGTGTTTTTGCATTTTAATAATTATGCATCTATTATCCAAATGCCTCAATCAATTAGTTTGGTACATGTCATTTTTTCCACTCATTGTCGAATTTTCATTCCCTCACCTTTACAGTGAATATAACAACCTTTCAAATATTGATATCTTGTCGCGCTAAGCTCCCGGTAAGCGAAATCCCGCCCTCATGCGTTCACATCGCACTCTAACCACACTGTCCTTCCTCTGGTCACAGGTTCGCTCACATGATCAACGTGGACTTTTTCCACGACCTGGTGGACAGTTTCCACGGCCTGCTGGCCTCGGGCACCCTGCAGACCACGCGTCAGGTGCTGCTCTGCGTGCAGACCGTGTTTGTCATGCTCTCCGGACAGGGAGAAGCCATCAACATCGACCCGCAGCGCTTCTACGGCCACTGCTACCGGGCCCTCAACGACGTCTGTCTAGGTGGGTTGGGACCTCGCCTAACGCACAGTGATGTCTTCCTTGGTGGGTTGGGATAGGTGGGACCGGGTGGTCGGGTTGGGCCGTGCTTCCAGTGCTGGATCCTTGATGAGAGCCCACCCACAGGGTATCGGCTTGTGCAGCGAACTCCAGAATAATATAGATAATCGTCTCAAAAGTAGCCGTCTTGGCTCACGTCGTCTGACTCACTTCGTTTTATTCAGGTTTTCTCCACATAGAGCTGGCTTAAAAACTGTTGAATTTAATTTAACTATGTCATTATCTGATCTTCCGGCTGACACGAAATGTTTTGCGAAAGGAGCAGTGAGGCAGAGCGCCCTATTCCCTCAAGTTCGGCTGCTCACAGACCATAACACGCCCCTCTGTCGCGTCCCGCGGGGTCGATGGCTCGGGGGAGCGGCTACCCCCCCCCCCCCCCTCCCCCGGACCAGGGGAGTGCTCGGGCACCCTCACCCCCGTCCCGGACTGTAGCTGTGACACATCAAACAGACTCCAGTTTGGTCGATTGCTTCCTGCCATTTCCCCTGCACTTACGCGATCGCGACTAACGCCAACCGCTTTGGCGTAGATTGTATTGTGGGTCCACCACCTTCCGATTACTGCTTGTACAGTACAATAACCTTTGAGCTCCTACGTATGTGTGAAGGCTGTTCAATGTTAATCAATCGCCATTCGCCACTTATGTTTTCTATTTTCGTTGCCGTTTCTATGTGCGATGTTCCACGAGTTTGCCGAGCTCGGTTATCTGACATCATCCCACTTCCGCCGTGGTGTTTGTTTCGTCAGTATAACCAAGATTACTTTACTACTCAGTATAACCGGGTGCGCTGCGCCAGATGCAGCTTTATACCCCCTCCCTCCCCTGCCTGACCTCGCCGGCAGCCTAGTCCCTAACCTCCCCAGACTGACTCCCCTGCCCTCCGCTCCCCAGACTGACTCCCCTCCCCTCCGCTCCCCAGACTGACTCCCCCTCCCCTCCGCTCCCCAGAGGACACTAGTGACGAGTTCCGGATCGCGCTCTCCTCCCTGGACGTAATGCTGATCCGACGCCGCAAGAAAATCTCCCCGCAGCGGGTCCTCTCGTTCACCAAGCGGCTGGCGTCGCTGGCTCTGAGGGCGCCCCACCCGGCCGCCGCCGCCGCACTCATGATGATCAGGGCTCTCTCCATGGTGAGGAAGGGGCTGGCGTTAGTGGGAGGCTGGGGAGGGAAGAATGTTTGTGTTTTGGCTATTTGGAATGTTCCCTAGTTTTTTTTTGGGGGGGGGGGGTCTACATTGGATTTCCGCATTTTATTTAGTTCGTCGAAGCTAGTTGACAAGCGACGAGCAATGGAATAGTCTGTCTGTGGCCACGTTCTATTGGCTGTCTCTCTGACTGTTCCACTGCTCGTGCCAGGTGCACTCGTGTACGAGCCGCCTGCTGGACACGGAGTCGGTGGCCAGCGGTCTGTACCGGCCCGAGGTCGATGACCCCGAGTACTGCGGCGCCGGCAACACCCTGCTCTACGAGCTCACTGCACTCCGGGTGAGTCCCAGCGGGTCAGACCTTAGCACCACGTGGTGGGCAGCGATCCCTCAGTGGGCGTCATCGGGCTATTACGATGGGAGCCATGATTGGTGGTCTCTTTGATCTATTTTGAATTTGGGAGGCAACATCGTAAGCATCGGTGGTTCAGTGGTAGAATGCTCGCCTGCCACGCGGGCGGCCCGGGTTCGATTCCCGGCCGATGCATTTTCGACTGGCTCGTCAGGAGTTTTGTGGCTGCATACGGCCTTGGCTGCGTCTACCGCTTATCTCGGCGATAGAGCTTACCCGACTATTTTACATAGTTACAAAGCATCACAAGTCTGCAGTGGCAGGCGGTCAACCCATACGGAGCTCTTCAGTGAATCAGATTTTGGCGCCGTTCTGCCCAACTGAAATTGTTTCCATATAATTGTTTCAAGTTGTGCAAATCCTATTTTTTCCTAGCCGTGTGTTTCATAATTGTTTATTTTGCTATTACGGCAACGGCAACCATTTAGTCCATGGACTGGCATGTTTGCCGACATAATGCATCCTTGGTTGTGCCAATTACCCTAGTCACAGACTTCTCTATATTGCCCTAGCCTTATGTCGGTGAGGCACGGGCTATTTCTGGGAAGTGCGTCGCGCTCCCCCTCGGTGGCGCACACATTGTGGCGTGTCGGGCTGTCCGGTCGAACTCGAGCTCTGTGGAAACTGTGTGTGGAACCTGCTGTGCCGCGAGGGTACCGGGCAGGACGTACCCCCTCCTCCCCATGTGTAGCCTATCCTCCGTCAGGTCGGTAAGCCACCGCGATCGATACGGACCGAGGTGATTGGGTCGGCTATGGAGCCTCGTTCCCAATGGTTATAGCCTTGACACGGCACCGAATGGCCATTTATAAACAAATTCTGCTGACCGTCCATCAAAGTCGTGTTTCATTGTGACATAGACTTCTGATGAACGATTTTCAGCTGCATGTTTCGCGGCTGACGGTGTCGGTGTCATGACACCCCGCAGTTTTCGTGGGGTGCATGCAGTGTCATTAATCAGTGGCACCGTCGCTGCGAGTCCACCGATAACTACTGGAGTCCATCAATAAATATCGCCGGCCCGGAGCCCATCAATAACCACCGCCGTCCCGGAGCCTTCCACCAATAACTACCGGAGTCCACCAATAACCACCGGAGTCCACCAATAACTACCGCCGTACCGGAGCCTTCCACCAATAACTACCGGAGTCCACCAATAACTACCGCCGTAGCGGAGCCTTCCACCAATAACTACCGGAGTCCACCAATAACTACCGGAGTCCACCAATAACTACCGCCCCGGAGTCCACCAATAACTACCGCAGTCCGGGAGCCCCGACCAATAACTACCGGAGTCCCGGAGCCCAACCGATAACTATTAACTACCACCGTCCTGGAGCCCCGACCAATAACTACCGGAGTCCACCAATAACTACCGTCCCGGAGCTCACCAATAACTACCGCCGTCCCGGAGCCTTCCACCAATAACTACCGGAGTCCACCAATTACTTCTGGAGCCCACCAATAACTACCGTCCCGGAGTCCACCAATGACTACCGCCATCCCGGAGTCCACCAAGAACTACCGCTGACTCGGAGCCCTTAGGCTTAGTCCGACCGATACACGCTGCCCGCTACTGACCTGACGGCTTCTTATAGTGTGTCCGGCGTCAATAGTTTGCTATTTTATCATATCGCCTTCCTGTAGTGAGTGCTGTACGGCAGTGCAGAATGTTCTTTGGACGTCTTTCGTGCAGACACTTTTCGAATATTTTATAGAAGCAGTCTCAAGGATATTTAGTTAATAGTTCATATTAAATCAGAATTGTGCATTTCATTTGTCTTCGCTCGCCTCTGGTAGTTTTTTTTTTTTGAGTGATGGTAAGAAATTGAATAAAACGCGCTCTTATACATTTCTCGGTATTTATTCCTAGGTCGCCATTTTCTACTGGCTGCTTCGGAATCGGAAAGGCGTATTGGTACTACAGAGTATAGAGCATGCTATAAAAATGTGTTCCTCCAAATTATGCTGGCTGCCCCCATTCTATGTTTTCCGTGCCTTATGCACTGCTGCTACATTCAGTCACGGTTTATTTCCCGTACGGTGCCCTCAGCGAAGCTACCATCAGCCGGTGCGCACTCTGGCCGCCCACGTGATGCTCTCGTGTCCAGTGCAGGGCGACTTCGCGCTGCCGGCCGCCCTTCGTCAGCAGTGAGTTATTAGTGATGTATGAAGGGTTTAGATAATTACAACCAAGTCTAACGTAAAAGATAAACTTGCAAACCATTGTATTGCTTTGTATTATTTTTTAAATATAAATTATATTATGCTTCGTCGTTTTAATAATGGTGTGATCCGCTGGCCTTTTTACTTCTTGTAGTTCCCTTGGACCCTTAACCCTGTTAGTGGCAGGCTCCTGGCTACCCCATATTAGTGGCAGGGGGGGCTGTTTACGACCCCCCCCCCCTTGATATCTCGAGATCTAACCGGCCGATTTTCAAAATTCAAACGGCATTCGATTTGGCTCAACGAGATCTACATTTCTAAAAAAATAAAATTATAAAATGTCAATAGGGGGGTAGAGGGGGGTAAAAACGGGCAAATTGCAGATACATTTTAGACTGTTTATCACGGCCAGGTTTCTGAACCAATCTTAACGCAACTTTTGCCGATCGATAGAGAATGAACCAGGAATTCACATGGATCCTAAAAATATGCATTTTCAAAAATCATAGGCGGATACAGATCATTGAGATTGGGGGTACACAAAAAGTATAGTAAATAAGGTTTTTGTTGGTACTGTTTCTAAAAAGGGTGGCAATGGTCTTGTTATGTTACAATTTTCTTATGAGAGAACGACTAAAATTGTATTGGTCATGCATAGGCGGTGTCAGGGCACCATGTTGGGAGGTAAAAAATAACCCCCCTTTTTGGACGCCTGGATCCGCCTATTATAGCAAAAACGTGTCAAAAGAGGATGCACAATAACTTTGTATATGTTATCACATGATACCTTTCATTCACTGTTCGTAAAACTGGTGCAGCATCGTGATCTTCGCCCAAATGACTCGCTTCACGAATAGGACCCCCAATTCCCAGTGCTCTGGAGCCGCCCCTGGTAAAGTTATGAACTTGAAATTTTCAGGGAATGTGCCCAATTTAGTTTTAGGAAAAGTCAGAAAATTTCAGCATCGTAGCTTCAGCGGTTTCGGAGATATTCCCGAAAAACCTGAGGGGTGGATAAAAACAACCCCCCCCCTGCCACTAATAGGGTTAAACGCGTTTGTTTTATTTTACATTATGTCTATTTTTACTGATAGGTATATTTAATGTGTCGCCTGAGGCACGTTGACCGCACCACGGCTCCTACTCTCTCCAGGTCTGCGACGGACATCCTGGACATGTACAGCACTGCCGAGATGCGCTTCACGCCGGCCGTCACGCCGCCCTCCATTGTGAAGAAGCGCTCCCGCAAGGCGCGGCCGGCCGCCGCCGGCGACTCGCAGTGGCTCCTGGACCAGGAGACGGCGGCCGGCAGGGCCTCCGAGGCGCGCGTCGACTTTGCCTCGTGTCTGCGGGCAGATAGTACCGGAACTGCCTGTGCCGGGGTGTCAGGGAGACCAGAGTGGCCGCCGGGCTGACGGTGTTACGAATTGTGAATACAGATATTGTGGGAACCGAAACTGTTTGGTCTGCAGGCAGGTGAAGAAGGGCTTGATGGCGGGAAGTTTACATATTCATCTTTTTTGTTTGAATGCTTTGTCCGCCAAATTCATGTGATGGGAAGACCAATGCGATTATATTTCAGACGAAACGATTGTATGCATACTGGTAATAACGTTTCATTTTTCACTTCTGTCATCTGAAGAAACATATTTGAGGCAAAGACAAAAATTAAAAAGCAGTCGAAACAATGCATGGATCGCATGGAATTCAGTTTGAATTTTGCGACATTTGGTCTGCGTCATTAATGATGTATGCAACACTGAGTACCCTGCAATATGTCCATAAAGTTAGCGTCGTATTCGTATTCGGATTCAAATTCGAGTAATGATTTCGCTCAAAATTGGCATACAGATAGCCCATGGCACGCTGAGTTCGAAAATGGTGACCTTTTTTTCCTAGGTCAAACCGTTTGACCTTGAGAGGTCAAAATACTGCGTACCCTGTAGAATCTTTGTTTATGGTCCGATTTGAAAAATTCGACCACCAGTGTGTTCGTCTCATCGAGAAGCAGTAGCACATTCAAAAAAATCCGAGGTCAAGGTCATAGGTCAAGGTCAAGGTCACTTTAAAAAACGCCGTACCCTATAAAATCTTCATTTTTGGAGCTATCGGAAAATTTCGGCCACCACTGTGTTCGTCATCGAGAAGCAGTAGCACATTCGAAAAAATCCGAGGTCAAGGTCATAGGTCAAGGTCAAGGTCACTTTAAACGTTAATTTTAGTCCCCGTACCCTGTAGAATCTTTCTTTATGGTCCGATTTAAAAATTTCGGCCACCACTGTGTTCGTCTCATCGAGAAGCAGTAGCACATTCGAAAAAATCCGAGGTCAAGGTCATAGGTCAAGGTCAAGGTCACTTTAAACGTTAATTTTAGTCCCCGTACCCTGTAGTCTTTGTTTATGGTCCGATTTGAAAATTTCGGCCACCACTGTGTTCGTATCATCGAGATGCAGTAGCACATTCGAAAAAATCCGAGGTCAAGGTCATAGGTCAAGGTCAAGGTCACTTCAAACGTTAATTTTAGTCCCCGTACCCTGTAGAATCTTTGTTTATGGTCCGATTTAAAAATTTCGGCCACCACTGTGTTCGTCTCATCGAGAAGCAGTAGCACATTTGAAAAAAATCCGAGGTCAAGGTCATAGGTCAAGGTCAAGGTCACTTTAAACATTAATTTTAGTCCCCGTACCCTGTAGAATCTTTGTTTATGGTCCGATTTGAAAATTTCGGCCACCACTGTGTTCGTCTCATCGAGAAGCAGTAGCACATTCGAAAAAATCCGAGGTCAAGGTCATAGGTCAAGGTCAAAGTCACTTTAAACGTTAATTTTAGTCCCCGTACCCTGTAGAATCTTTGTTTATGGTCCGATTTGAAAATTTCGGCCACCACTGTGTTCGTCTCATCGAGAAGCAGTAGCACATTCGAAAAAATCCGAGGTCAAGGTCATAGGTCAAGGTCAAGGTCACTTTAAACGTTAATTTTAGTCCCCGGACCCTGTAGAATCTTTGTTTATGGTCCGATTTCAAAATTTCGGCCACCACTGTGTTCGTCTCATCGAGAAGCAGTAGCACATTTGAAAAAATCCGAGGTCAAGGTCAAAGGTCAAGGTCAAGGTCACTTTAAACGTTAATTTTAGTCCCCGTACCCTGTAGAATCTTTGTTTATGGTCCGATTTGAAAATTTCGGCCACCACTGTGTTCGTCTCATCGAGAAGCAGTAGCACATTCGAAAAATCCGAGGTCAAGGTCATAGGTCAAGGTCAAGGTCACTTTAAACGTTAATTTTAGTCCCCGTACCCTAAAATCTTCATTTTGGAGTTATCGGAAAATTTCGGCCACCACTGTGTTCGTCTCATCGAGAAGCAGTAGCACATTCGAAAAAATCCGAGGTCAAGGTCATAGGTCAAGGTCAAGGTCACTTTAAACGTTAATTTTAGTCCCCGTACCCTGTAGAATCTTTGTTTATGGTCCGATTTGAAAATTTCGGCCACCACTGTGTTCGTCTCATCGAGAAGCAGTAGCACATTTGAAAAAATCCGAGATCAAGGTCATAGGTCAAGGTCAAGGTCACTTTAAAAATCGCCGTACCCTATAAAATCTTCATTTTGGAGCTATCGGAAAATTTCGGCCACCACTGGTTCGTCTCATCAAGAAGCAGTAGCACATTCGAAAAAAATCCGAGGTCAAGGTCATAGGTCAAGGTCAAGGTCACTTTAAACGTTAATTTTAGTCCCCGTACCCTGTAGAATCTTTGTTTATGGTCCGATTTGAAAATTTCGGCCACCACTGTGTTCGTCTCATCGAGAAGCAGTAGCACATTCGAAAAAATCCGAGTTCAAGGTCATAGGTCAAGGTCAAGGTCACTTTAAACGTTAATTTTAGTCCCCGTACCCTGTAGAATCTTTGTTTATGGTCCGATTTGAAAATTTCGGCCACCACTGTGTTCGTCTCATCGAGATGCAGTAGCACATTCGAAAAAATCCGAGGTCAAGGTCATAGGTCAAGGTCAAGGTCACTTTAAACGTTAATTTTAGTCCCCGTACCCTGTAGAATCTTTGTTTATGGTCCGATTTTAAAATTTCGGCCACCACTGTGTTCGTCTCATCGAGAAGCAGTAGCACATTTGAAAAAATCCGAGGTCAATGTCATAGGTCAAGGTCAAGGTCACTTTAAACGTTAATTTTAGTCCCCCTACCCTATAAAATCTTCATTTTTGGAGCTATCGGAAAATTTCGGCCACCACTATGTTTGTCTCATCGAGAAGCAGTAGCACATTCAAAAAAATCCGAGGTCAAGGTCATAGGTCAAGGTCAAAGTCACTTTAAACGTTAATTTTAGTCCCCGTACCCTATAAAATCTTCATTTTTGGAGCTATCGGAAAATTTCAGCCACCACTGTGTTCATCTCATCGAGAAGCAGTAGCACATTCGAAAAAATCCGAGGTCAAGGTCATAGGTCAAGGTCAAGGTCACTTTAAAAATCGCCGTACCCTATAAAATCTTCATTTTTGGAGCTATCGGAAAATTTCGGGCACCACTGTGTTCGTCTCATCGAGAAGCAGTAGCACATTTGAAAAAATCCGAGGTCAAGGTCATAGGTCAAGGTCAAGGTCACTTTAAACGTTAATTTTAGTCCCCGTACCCTGTAGAATCTTTGTTTATGGTCCGATTTAAAAATTTCGGCCACCACTGTGTTCGTCTCATCGAGAAGAAGTAGCACATTCGAAAAAATCCGAGGTCAAGGTCATAGGTCAAGGTCAAGGTCACTTTAAACGTTAGTTCCAGTCCCCGTACCCTGTAGAATCTTTGTTTATGGTCCGATTTGAAAATTCTGGCCACCACTGTGTTCGTCTCATCGAGAAGCAGTAGCACATTCGAAAAAATCCGAGGTCAAGGTCATAGGTCAAGGTCAAGGTCACTTTAAACGTTAATTTTAGTCCCCGTACCCTGTAGAATCTTTGTTTATGGTCCGATTTGAAAATTTCCGCCACCACTGTGTTCGTTTCATCGAGAAGCAGTAGCACATTTGAAAAAATCCGAGGTCAAGGTCATAGGTCAAGGTCAAGGTCACTTTAAACGTTAATTTTAGTCCCCGTACCCTCTAGAATCTTTGTTTATGGTCCGATTTGAAAATTTCGGCCACCACTGTGTTCGTCTCATCGAGAAGCAGTAGCACATTCGAAAAAATCCGAGGTCAAGGTCATAGGTCAAGGTCAAGGTCACTTTAAACGTTACTTTTAGTCCCCGTACCCTGTAGAATCTTTGTTTATGGTCCGATTTGAAAATTTCGGCCACCACTGTGTTCGTCTCATCGAGAAGCAGTAGCACATTCGAAAAAAATCCGAGGTCAAGGTCATAGGTCAAGGTCAAGGTCACTTTAAACGTTAATTTTAGTCCCCGTACCCTGTAGAATCTTTGTTTATGGTCCGATTTGAAAATTTCGGCCACCACTGTGTTCGTCTCATCGAGAAGCAGTAGCACATTCGAAAAAATCCGAGGTCAAGGTCATAGGTCAAGGTCAAGGTCACTTTAAACGTTAATTTTAGTCCCCGTACCCTGTAGAATCTTTGTTTATGGTCCGATTTGAAAATTTCGGCCACCACTGTGTTCGTCTCATCGAGAAGCAGTAGCACATTTGAAAAAATCCGAGGTCAAGGTCATAGGTCAAGGTCAAGGTCGAATTTTTCAAATCGGACCATAAACAAAGATTCTACAGGGTACGCAGTATTTTGACCTCTCAAGGTCAAACGGTTTGACCTAGGAAAAAAAGGTCACCATTTTCGAACTCAGCGTGCCATGGGCTATCTGTATGCCAATTTTGAGCGAAATCATTACTCGAATTTGAATCCGAATTTTAACGTTTAAAGTGACCTTGACCTTGACCTATGACCTTGACCTCGGATTTTTTCGAATGTGCTACTGCTTCTCGATGAGACAAACACAGTGGTGGCTGAAATTTTCCTATAGCTCCAAAAGAAGATTTTATAGGGTACGGGGACTAAAATTAACGTTTAAAGTGACCTTGACCTTGACCTATGACCTTGACCTCGGATTTTTTCGAATGTGCTACTGCTTCTCGATGCGACGAACACAGTGGTGGCCGAAATTTTCAAATCGGACCATAAACAAAGGTTCTACAGAGTACGGGGACTAAAATTAACGTTTAAAGTGACCTTGACCTTGACCTATGACCTTGACCTCGGATTTTTTCGAATGTGCTACTGCTTCTCGATGAGACGAACACAGTGGTGGCCGAAATTTTCAAATCGGACCATAAACAAAGATTCTACAGGGTACGGGGACTAAAATTAACGTTTAAAGTGACCTTGACCTTGACCTATGACCTTGACCTCGGATTTTTTCGAATGTGCTACTGCTTCTCGATGAGACAAAACAGTGGTGGCTGAAATTTTCCTAGCTCCAAAAATGAAGATTTTATAGGGTACGGGGACTAAAAT